TCTATTTTCTCAAAGTAAATAGCAGATTTGTGCAGTTGACAAAGGAGCACATTTGGTAAACGGATTTATTTATGAGTTACCAAAATGAATGAAGTGTGCAGGGATTGTTCCTCAACAGGCATGCTCAGGAAATGATGTCACCGTCGATTCCGAGCTCTCTGTAAGCACTGTTTGTATAGCTCTTACTACAAAGCTCAGAAAGAGCAAGAGGAGAAACGCCCTGAGATGTGATTTGGTTCTGATGAAGGGACTGGGAGTTTAAAGCTGCCTTCTCTGGCCAGCTGAAGAATACAGCTCAGGGCCAGGTCTGCCTGAGGGTCCTGAGCCCTCCACCTGATTCTGAGCAGACATCTAGAGGGACAATGCAGAGATGTAATTGTTTTTGATTTTTTTTCTTGCCAATGCATTTTACACACTCGCATATGAACTCACAAATGCATTTGAGAATAATCTACTGCATTTGAAAATTAAGAGAGCAGTTACATGCTGCATACAAGTGTTTCAGTCAATCTCAGACGCACATACCACAGCAGTCCCGTAAGATTACATCCCCACGCGACACTGCAGCGGTCTCATTAGGGCAAGTGCACTCTGTAATGTTCCCACAGTGCATTTCTCAGAGCCTTTCCTCAATGTTAAGTGATGCGTGACTGCAAGATTAATATTTATTTGTAGTTTGTGTCCCACAATTCACCATGCTACTTCAATCCTTCAGAACCCTACCCCAAACCCATTTTTTTCCTAATGAAGCATGAAGGCCGTGCATAAAGAAAGAGGGTGTGATCCATGTGACTGCCGAGTCCCCGCCCCATGTGACCTGCTGGTCATGACCCCCACACAGCTGCCCAGCCTTCTAGAGGGCTGCAGCCTATGCACTCCATTCCAGCCACTTCAGACTTGCATCCCTCCTGCATGCCCTGCTTCCTCCAGTCACAGGTCCTTCTACCTAGAATCCTTTTCTTTCTCCTACTTGCTTGCTAACCTCTGGTTTATTTTTCAGATTTTTGCCCTAAGGTCCTATTCTCATGGAAGACTTCCCCGACTGCTTGCCCAGCCCAGGTCAGCTCTTGTGCGTTCTAGTGGCATCTATCACAGTTTTGATTGTCTATTTATTTGTGTATTTGCCAGATGGCTACTGCTCCCATTATCCTGTAAGCTCTGTGAGAGTAGGAGCTATGCTGGCTGGTAAAAGTCATTGTGTGTCCCCAGCCCTAGGAGAGTACCTGGCACTAAGAGCTCGTGAATACCTAATGCATAAGTGGATGAATGACAGTTCACCATCTATATCTTCAGTTTACCTCCAATGGCTAAGCAATGGGGGCACCTTTCCATTGAAGACTTCCTTTATCCTTGTCTTCTCTGTAGGCTCCTCTTCTGAGGCTAGTTCAGGTAACAGACATAGTTCAGATGCAGAGCATAGGCTCTGCTCTCTCGTGACATTGTATAACTATGGTATATCGCAGTTAATTTTGCACATCTCTAACTACTGACAATCTCCTTCCTGAAGATTCTTCCCAAGTATAATTCATATATTTATAGACAGTGGGCAGAACAGTTTTAAATTTTTTTCCAAGTTCTGCTCCCAACTGGCAAAATGTTGTTGCACAACTGGCTCCAAACTCAGCCAGTTTTCAGTAATTGGGGGAAAGTTTAGAAACAGTAAACAGAAAAAGAGAATACACAGAGAATGTCTTTGACTCTCCCCAAAGAAGACAGATTCCAAGTAGAACTGGTAGAAAAAAACTTTTCCCAATTTTTCAAAAACTCAGGGCTTTCACCAGAGGGCTGAAAATGTTGGCTGGAAGAATCCAGTGATACAATAACCTGGGTGTGGCCAGTAATGACCATTCAGTCAAGCTCCTTGGAGTGGCTGTGTGCTATATGGCCAGAATAGCCCTGGGGATGGGGGTGTCCAGGAATAGAAAGATACAATCAGCAAAACCATTGCTCCTGACACTCTCTTCACCCTGACTGCAAGAATGAATTATTTAGCACTAGTCAACACAGATCAATTGAATCCTATCTATGAGTGATGGAACCCAGGCAACAAATAGGCACTCTTCTAAACTCCCAGAGGATTCCAATAGGCATTTTGGGCCAAAGACCATCTCCTAGAGCCTGGAGCCCAGGTCTCCTAGTGAGCACTTCCTAGATTCCACCTTTCTGTCCCCAGGGAAGTTTTTTCCCCTTTGGACCTTTGAAGCAGTAAGGTTCTCTCTTCCAGGGTACCCAACTACTGTCCTCCTGTGATGAAAACAAATTGTTAGAACAATGTGGCCTTTGAACACCACAGAAGGGTTCTCCAGTCCTTAGGGATATTGCCTTTTACTGGTTTATTTCTCTAGACTTAACACCCACTCCCGCCTTGTTCCTCAAAGTGAAGTCCCAGAGTAGTGCCATCAACATCAACTGAGATCTTGTTAGAATTACAGATTCACAGGTTTCACTCCAAACTCCCTAGCTCAGAATCTTCCTTTTCACAAGATTCCAGTGAGGGCTAGGGGTGGAGCTTAGTGCTGGAGCACATGCTTAACATGCATGAGGTCCTGGGTTTAATGCCCAGCACCTCAACGGAAAAAGAGATCTTGGTACAATAGTTCTGTGCATATAAACAACTGAGAAACCCTTCTGCTCTGAGACTATTCATGGACCTTGAAAATCCAGGCCATTTCCTAGGATTTTCCCGTCCTTTCTATGGCTTTTCAGGTTTCCTCTGCTTTACTTAGAATGACGTTTGCGGATCATAGAAGACTAGACTGGACTGTTTATATCTAGATGCACCTGCCAGCCTCATGTGCGCAGAAGTAGGACTTTGTGGAGGTGACTGGATCACGGGGTTGATAATCACCAGTGGCTTAGTCCACTGGAGTTTGTAGCTAAATGCGATGTTGGGAGGTGAAGCCTGGTCAGAGGAGGTGGTCACTGAGGGCGTGGCCTGGAAGGGTTCATCTCTTCCCCGCTCCTCCTCTCCCTCTCTCTCTGCTTCCCACCGCCATGCCTTGAGCAGCTCTCCTCCGCCAGGCCCCTCTGCCATGCCGCTCTGCCTTGGAGCCAGGTGACTATGGACTGAACCCTCTACAAACTGAGCCAAGATAAATCTTTCCTCCTTTAAATTGTGGGTGCTGGATATTGTGTCTCCGTGATGAGAAAGTAACTAAGACATGGACTATAGTATAGAGGTGATTCGATCCAATCCTTTCAATTATCAGATCAACTATTGTAAGGTTAAATCTATGTTCCTGATGAAGAAGAAGGTTTGGAGCTTCTACACAGCTAATTATCAAAGCTCATTTAGTTTGTGAATTCTTAATCTATGTTTGAAGTTGAGTTGCAAGTAGCTCTGTGGATTACCATATAAAATTTTTTAAACACTGAGAACCCTGTATGTATATTTTACTGTAAATACACTCAGTCCCCAGTTCGTAACCTCAGAACATCTAACGCTGTTCAGTACACGCAGGTGATCCTCAAATTACCATAGTTAGACATTTTTGATTACAGTGGCATAAAAGTGATAAGCATTTAGTAGAAACCATACTTTGAATTTTGAATTTCCTATTCAACACTTTATTATAAAATAGGCTTTACATTAGATGCTTTTTGCCCATCTAATATTGTAGGTTAATGTAAATGTTTTGAATATGTTTAAGGCAGGCCAGGCTAAGCCATTTGTTCAGTAGGTTAGATGTACTAAATGCATTTTTAATTGAAAGTGCAATTTTGATTTGGAAATTGGTATTCTCAGTTTGCAGTGGATTTGGGAGAATATGACCCCATTGTAAGTCAGTAAGGGTATGTGCTGATAAACAGAGGTCTGTGACAGGGCAATTCTGTGTGGCTCTGAGACTCCTGTGAGTGCACTATCATGTGAACAACCTCGGCAGAGCCAATCCTGCCACATACGTGTGCTCACCTCGCTTGGGTTATCTCCAGTTTTGACAACAGCATCACCGCTCCGATGGCTGTGCTTGCTTCCTGAGTTAGCACTGAAACTCTGCTTTTCTTTCCAGTGGACTGAGGTACACCAGTGATCCCTAACACCTCAGCTGAGAACCGCTGCTGTGATACTCACAAGACTACATTTTTCAGGGCTGAATCAATGTAGGGCAGTGACTCATGAACTCCAATCAGCAAGGAAACCAGTTAAGACACAGGTTCCTACGGCTGCACTAGGTCTAGGGTGGGGCTAAAAGTTTGCATTTCTAGCAAGTCCCTGGTGATGCTGCTGCTGCTCTGGGAATCATCGCTCTGGGACTCTCTTCCTGGTGACTGGCCCACAGGAGGTAGATCTTGAAGTCTCAGGCCTCCTATTGAAAACAACTTTTCATCTTCAGAAGAATGATGATCTCTACCTGCTTCCTGAGCCATCAGTGTGAATGTGGGTTCCAGTTGTACCCTTTGGCAGGTACAATGCATGTGCCTGGCCTCATGCATTCAGCTTAAAGGCTCTGCTCCTATTTGTCTCTCAGCCCCACCTTTTCCTGATCTCTCTGACTGACTCCCATTCTTTCTCGTGGATCCCTATCACTGTTTCTCTGTTTAATGTCAGCATGAGCCTTCACTCTCCCTACTCCATGGTACCTGAAGGTCACCCTTCCTGGGTGACACCAGGTGACACCCACTCTGCAATATGAAATGGTCAAATGTGGTTGTTACACCCGGATGTGAGTCTTTATCCTTAGTAATTTCATTCTGTTTCCTTCTTTATCTGCCACAATTTATCTCTGCATCTACTCAAGAACTCACTCAAATTTCTTCCACTTTGACTTCACTTCCTGTTGTCTCCCCTCTGAACCCTGGCAGGATTTAACTCTTCACTTTCTACTAAGGGCTGAGTAAATTTTCTAAAGCCTGGCACCAAGTTACTTGGTTTCATTATTTGCTTGTTAGCTTGGGTTTATTATTTGTTGATGGCACTGTTTCCAAGGATGGAATTGGGAAGGGAACAATTCTTGGACAAATAGCAACTGAAACACAAGTGAGATGAGCGTAGGGCTTACCATGAACCACCCACTGCATCTGGAATCCTTTCTCACTGGCTCCAACTCCATCAGTGTGGAACAGCACTTGCAACTTGGAGGCTGTGGTACTCCCTGGCGGGGGAATATCTGTTCCACAGTAGCGTCCAATCCGACGTGGGCCATCATAGAGCTGAAATTAAAGAGAAACTTCCTGATGTAAAAGCATTTCATATGATTAGTCCAAGGACAAAGCCAAGTCTACTCAAACAGCAAACGCTGTTCCCTGGTCCAAAAGCTAGAGGTAAGTCTGCAGAGCAGGGTTGAATACAGGAGGCTTAACGTAAAAATAAAAATAGGTAATTGCATCGAGAGGGATTTAGAGATGTATCTGAACTCCTTAAGGCCCATAAATTTGGAGACCCAACTACTAATTTCTTTGTTTTATGTCAACCTAGCAAGTCCCAAGTGTAATCCAGGTACAGAATAGGGAAGTGGGTGGCTGGCTGAGGTGCCTTCAGATATTAATGAGACCTACGAAATGCTCAGTGAATAGCAGCTATTACAATTCTGAGAGGCAATTTGCCAAATAAATACTAATTGTAGAAAATCAGACATTTTATAAAGGTATGAAAAAAGGGAAAATACAAAGTTAGTAACACTGAAGATAAACACTCTTAATATTTTGTTAGCACCAGAAATTTCTTTTGTTGATATCTTTTTCATCTGTGTGTGACACACACATTTGTGCAGATGTGTATGTATAGAAATTCAGGCTACATGTTTAATTGTCTTTTCTGTTTTTCCTCTAAGCATGTTCCAAAATAGTCTATATAAACATTTTAATGGGTATAAAATGCTATATTAGCATTATAATTGTATTGTTGTTCATTTAGGAGATTTATAATTTCTTGCCAGTATAAATATTTGTTTCATATTTAAACTGTTTTTTCAAAAAGATTCCAAAAAAGGGAATTAATCAGAGTGTAAGTGTTTGTGGCTCTTGATATAATATTACTATATTTCTTCTTCTTTTTCTTTGGTGGCTCTAGGGATTGAACCCAGGCCCTCACATGGTGGACCAGCATTCTACCACTGAGCTACTTCCCCAAGAGTATTAAATTTATGACGAGAAAGGGTAAACCAAGATATCATTTAATGGGTCAATTGACAAATCACAGACATGTTTTTCTTTCCAGTAGAACTCTCTCAATTATGATTGCTATTATTTTTACAACTGGTGCCAATAGTGAAAAAAATGTGTTTTATTTTGTAACTGTCTTAATTTGTGTTACATTGAATACTTTGAAATTTTGAGGCTGGGGTGTTTTGTGTTTCTTGTTTAGTGGGCATTTACATTTCTTCCCTTGGAATTTTTCTGCTTAGGTCTTGGCCCATTTTTCCAAGAAGTATTTCTACAACCTGTTGTACCTCATTTAATAACTTCATCAGATAGATATCTCCAAATTTAAAATTAAAACACTAAGAAAACTTCTCTATTGTCTCTCTTCACTTGGGGAAGATAATGACAATCCCAAAAGACTGGTTTCCTCATGAGACAGGCTACTGTATATTCTCTGAGAATATTCTATCCACACTGAGCACTTTGTTCCAGTTACCCTTGGGATGAGCTGCCTGTGACATTAGAATGGAAAAGATCTAATGCACACATGACTCCCTTGATTGTTCTCTTGGAGAGTGTATGTATGTGAGAATATGTGAGTCTGCATGTATCTGTGGGAAGATCTCTAATATGGATTCAATAAATTGCCCACTGACCAAATTGTTTTAATTACAGAAATGTTAAGATATAAAATTTTCTTTGAAACGTACTGATTTGAGTATGAAAAATTATAACCAAATTTTACAAAGTACCTCCCTCTGTGGAGCCTTCACTAATCCCTAGAGTCGGGGATAGATTAGTTTTCCTTTGAACCCCAGTAGCTTCTCATTTGTACTTCTTTTGTGCAAATGATCCCTTCCCCTAGCATTCTGGTTATGGACGCGTATGGCCCCTACTGACTCAGTTCTCAGAGCACTCTGTCTGTGGCCTAGAGCAGAGTTTAGTGAGGTCAGGTTCACAGTGTCTCGCCAATGAATGAATCTCGGGGTTGCCCCCTAATTGCATTTATTTTAAGGATTTAATCGGCACTAGTATTTGAATCCTGTATAGCTAGATAGAGATTAAAATCACACAGTCCTACGTTTCATCTTAGGTAGTAAAGGGGCTGGATCCTTTAGGGCTGTCCCACAGAGGGGAAAACAGGTGGGGCCTTGTTCAAGGTCATAGCAGATCACGGATTTCTAAATCTTGGCCTGTCTTGGTGAGATCTCACATCAGCTGCTCATCAGGGCCCCCACCGTGCTTGTGAGATTTCAGGGAAGGTCAGCGGAGATTTAAAAGGAGAAGCCCAGAGTCCATTATATCATTTATTCTTCCTTCAGCACTAAACCTAAGTCTTTTAAGCAAATGAATAAAGATGAACTTTACTTTTCAGGTGTGTCACTTCTGCTTCCTTAAAAAAATACTGACTTCAAAAAATATGTGTTTCTTATCAGGTTTCTGATACTCTACATATTTGACAGAAGCCATAGTGAGAGAGGGAGAGTGACAGAGAGGAAGAGAAAACATTAGAAAAAAGGAGAAACGAAAATAAAAGCTCTTCACTGTGGGTCTCCAGGCCCTGCCCTCTAGGGTGTGTGTGTGTGTATCCCCAGGAATCCACACAGGATTTACAGCATGCTAGGCAAGCACTCGACCACTGAGCTACATCCCCAGTCCCCTCATTCTTCGTAGCTAAGTGACCAAAGCTGAAATTATTTCATCTTTATCTAACAAAACTTAAGATTTCTCTGCAGCCATAATCACTTAAGCCACTTGCAAAGAACTAAGTATCAAGTTGAGGAGACACACAGCGTTTTCATTCTGCATGAGGCCACAAACAATATATATAATCTTTTCCCCTCCTTGCTCGGCAAGGTTAAGGGCTACGGCATTTTCAAATGATATCGAGGGGATTTTTTCCCTTCCTTGCTATAGGATTACATCACTGAAGGAGAGCCCCTGAGCCGTTCGGTGGTCTCAGATAACACATTGTGAATGAGATGAAGAAGGTGGAAGGGAAAGGCAGTGGGTTGGGGACACTGGTGAATGACAGCTTCCTTTTGCCTTTGAGGAGAGGGAATAATGCATTGAAATGAACATTGGATAGACCTTTTTGAAACTTCTTCAATGTAATGGCAAATAAATTAATGATTAATTAGTACAGAACAATGTCTCCATGAGAAAAAAAACCCCTCATACCTTCAGTTTTATGTTCTTTTAACATTTACACTTAGGGGATTTAGCTCAGTGATTTCACTGCTTGCCTTGCAAGCACAAGGTCCCGAGTTTGATCCCCGGTACCAAAAAAAAAAAAATTACAATTAATTAAATCAGGGTTTTTGTTTATGGTCACACAGATGACTAACATCACCATGACCTTTACAATTCATTCCCACGTAAATTTACCACACAAAAAGTAACAGTCGAAGTACACAAATACAGGTTACCATGGAAACCAGTTGGTGTCTTGCTGCTCCCGATTCTCTTTTCAGAGCAGAATGTTAACCACAGGACATTCCAGCTGTGACTCACAGCCACCAGTGGCGCGATTGCCAGCATGGACGGGAAAAGTCAGCTTCTTCTGCTCTGAGAGTCAGAGATCTACTCTGAGTGAACAACCTGTGAAGTTCCAACTTAGTTCATTCCAAAGAAACTAACAGAACCCGCAGACTCTCACCTTGAAAATGCAAATGTAATTTATATAGCTGTGTTCAGAGGACTGCTTTTAATACTTGAAATTATGTTCCCATTTTCAAGTTGGCCATTAAATTTATCTTCAGATGTGGCTATCTGTACAGTATAAAACCTCCTGTGTAAAATCTTTTCAGTCATTCTCAAAGAGACTCCTTATTTAGGATTTTTGTGGTTTCGAGCTCCCTCACCACCAGCCGGACCCAAAATATCTCAGTCACTCTTAGGACACACAAAGAGGAAGGAAATCGCTTGCCTAAGCCAAACTCACCAAAGTCTATCTACTTCCTTTGCATGGGTTTGAGACAAGAAGTTTATTAGAGCATCGGTGTCTTCAGACTCCAATGGCAACACAAAGTGATTGCAGTGGGTTCCTCAATATTAAGGACCCAAGATGGAAGATATAAAACTGAAGACACATAAAGGATGGTCAGTTACTGACAGAGGTAGTCCAGTGTTTGACCAGATGAAGCACTGGTTTGGTTTTGTTGTGAGATAGGGTCTTGCTTTGTTGCCCAGGCCAGCCTTGAACTCCTGAGCTCAAGTGACCCTCCCACCTCAGGCTTCCCAGTAGCTGGAACAATAGAAATGAACACTGTGCCTGGTTAGGCTATGGGTTTTAGGTAATTCAGGAATCGCTGGAAGTCAAGTTCTAAGGTGCCAGGGACCCAGAGCCCTCTAATATGCACCTCAACCCATTCGCTCCATAGGAGTCAACTTTACAAACCCTAAAAACAGAAAGGAACTTTTCAAGTGTCTCTCTGTTGCTAAGCTGTTTTATGACTTTGGACATTTGTAACTTTACAAACAAAAATTATAATTAAATTTTCTCATCTATATGAGCAGGGGATGTACAGACTGACTTTTTCTAAACTTATTTTAGAGTTACAATGAGTGACAACAATTGAAACTCAGCCCTTTATATTTTAGATTGCAACCTAATTCATATTTTTTCTAATTTCTTCTCATTTCCTAAGTTTTTCTGGTAAGGAAATTTTTTTTTTTTTTTTTTGTACTGGGGATCAAACTTGGGTCCTTGCGTTTGCGAAGCAGGCGGCGAAACCACTGAGCTAAATCCCCAGCCCAGGAAATTCTTTCTTTCATTAGTGAAATATTAATTTTAAGACTCAGTTAAACATAAGCTATATAGAGGAAGCAAAGCAAGAATTTCTTTTGAATGATAACCTTAAATATTAGAAATGTCAGGAAAAAGTTTGGCCCAATTACTATTACAAACCTTTAAAATTTTCAAAGAAAACTTGACACCTTAGAGTTAAACATATAAACAAACATAATTCATCAATATGAAGAAGAATTTTAGGCATAGTGAAGAATATCTTATTTTTGTAGAGAACACAAATTCTAGTCAATGTAAAGAAACTAGTTAAATCTGAGAT